CGTGTTCGGCTCGTTCGTTAAGAAACGAACACGAGCTTATTTCAAACAAACTAAATTTTAAACGAACCGAACACGAACACAAGCTTTGTTCGTTCGTGTTCGGTTCGTTTACACCCCTACTTATATGATATATTATTTAAATAAAATTGATTAATTAAAAGTTATTTAATAATATATTTAATACTAACTTATTATAATTTAATATCAATATATGCATAAATTCAAAGAAATTTTATTATTTTTTTATTTCAATGAACTAGTTTGTTATGATTTATTTATGTTATTTGATTGCAAAAAATTTTACTTATAACGTATATAATAATTTATTTACTTGATATTAACTTGTTAGATGCTGATTAAAATCTATTCAATTGCTTGTTTATTTAGATTCAAAAGATCATTTGTTAACGACTTCATATATAAATTAAATACTCATTTAAAATTATAAAATTTATGTGAAAATCATGTACAAATCAAATGTTTAATTTTATATGAAAAATTAAGTACTCGTTTGAATTTTTAGTTTTTTAATTAATATAAACAAGCCAAGTACAAATCAAAGTGTGAACATTAAAAATTTTAAGCAAGCGAAACCTAAACGTATTTTTTTAAGCTTGTCTATACTTAGGGTGCGTTTGGGGCAGCTTATCCTCTGCGGTGGCGTTTTGAAAACGTCGCCGTCCTGTTTGTTTTGGGCGTTTGAAGAGCTTATTAGCAAACGTCATTTTCTAATCCTTAATAGGCGCGGACGCGGGATCAACCCCGCGTCCCGCGTCTTCAATTTGCGTTTGGGGAAATTTTACTCCCATGCTCTTCTCCTCCCGTCTCCTCCCTCACCGATCTCCCGATCCTACCTTGTCGATCTGAGTGAAGGTAAAGTGGAGATGAAGAAGAGAGGTTCGTCAGTGAAAACGCTCTCCAAGGAGAAATGCCTTCTTTCTCCTCTCCCCTCCCCGTCGTCGGAGACCAGATCTGACAGGGCTTACGGATTCAACTCCTTTCTTTTTGCTTCTTCCAGCAAGAAGAAAAATCTGTCTCCGGCTTCCGTCCTCCGATCTCCAAGCACTCCCGCAAACCCGCTGTCGACAACTTCAGATCTAAAGGATCTGGCCTGTTCAAGCATCGAATCGTCGGCGAGCTGAAGTGCGCGAGACTGACGTTGTCGTCGAAGAGATCAATGCCTCCTATAGTAGGATCTCCAAGAGGTTTAAGGTAATCTCTGAGTTATCTGAAATGGATCATTGTCCTGTGATTTGAGAATGTGCTGCTGAATTTTTATGGGATTAGTGTTTTTTAATTGATTTCATTTTCTCAAGTGCTTCAGATTGTCTGTTATTTACAGTTCTTAGAATTTATAATTTGAATCTACTGGGATAATGTTATTGCTTTTTATGTAATTATATGATGGTAGAACCCTTAGAACTGTAAACAATTTATCTAAAACAGGGGCAGAATGGTCATTCATCCAGAATCAGCTATTTTCCAAACGCAGAAACCAAACAACCAGACAGCTTATTCGGATCAGCTGCTTATCAGCAGATTATCAGGATAAGCAGCTTATCTGGATAAGTTGGATAAGCTACAGCTGCCCCAAACAGACCCTTAAACTGAACATGAACATAAACCTCTGTACCATAGTTTATAAGGCTTCGGGTGATACAGAGGTTTACGTTCATATCGTAGTAGACAATGTTTTCATGACTTCTTCCATTATTAATGAACTTTGCAAGCTTCTTTTACGGTGCACCATTTGTGAAATATATTGGAACGATGCCACTCTGATTCTCTATCAAGGATGCTGCTTTGCACTTGTCACACAGTAACTCTCCTTCATCAATGAATAATACATGCTCATTGTAGTTTTTTGATACTTATTGTTTTTCATCTTTCGATGGTGTTTTTTTACAAGTAATGACAAAACTTGATGATTGGTACAATTGGAAACAAAGTGATTGAATGTTTAGAATTGAAAGCATTTTTTTAGTTGATTATTGTTAGTGGACATAATTTCTTTACCACTACTTGTAGCTTGGGATTGGTTGAGTGGAATATTTTAGGTGGGATTCACTGTGTTTCTTAACAAGTTTTATTTCCAATATTTAAGGGCTTTCTTGTTTTGACCATGGAGGGAAAATTTTGGTGAATGCTTATTTTCTCTCAATCCTCAAGGCCTATTTGGTAATCATAAAGCATCTAGTATTATTGCAGTTGCACAACTTTAGCAATTGCAGGACACAAATCATTAATGAACTGTGTTATGGCGTGCACTTCATGCTAACACATTATAACATAGGATAAATTTCAGCAACATACTTTTTTAGGGATATTGGCTTTTGTTAAAAATGTAGAGTTCAATAAAAGTGTCTTGTCCAAAATGGGAAGTCCAAGTATATGGCAACCTTTTCTTTGTTTTACCCCACATAACATTTTTGCGTTTGCCTTGGTCAGCTTGGTTTGCTTAAGCTTTTCCCACCAAATTGTCATACTTTTTTTTTAAACCTAATGTCTCTAACTCAACTCATCATTGTACTTAAAATCAATGACATTTCACTTTTTGCGGCTAATCAATAAAATCGTCTGGTTCCAACCTACCCTCAAAATGTAGAATGCCTTTCTTGCTGTAAACATGATGTTGCCCTTCTTGTTTTCCTTCTTCGAAACCTTTGATAAAGGTTGATCTTCTTTAAATGATTCTTGGAGTGCTTGATGGAATGGATTTTCCATTTCACATTTTTCTTGATTGTCATCAGAATTAGTTCAATGTGTTTTAGGAGCCATTAACATGCTTCGAGACATTATTGTAACCGTTGGATTTCCCATTTTAAGTCTTTCATGGTGATTTTTTAGGCTTAAATTTTCTTATTCCTTTTCTGCAGGATGTTAACCCAGGGCTTTGCTACTACTTAAAGACATTGATAGATGTGATAACCAACATTTTTGTTTAATCTATAAACTGTTGGCATAAAAATCTCTTAACCAAACTGCCAACTATTAGATATGAAGATGGCAAAGATTACATGAACTTATGCTAGGAAAAAAAAAACTGAGATCATAGGCATGAAAAAGAGAAGAAAAAGATGAAAGAACTCCTCAACCCTTCCTCGTACTCTCGGTCCAATCTTCTAAGGGACAGTCTGGGTTGGAAAGCGTACTCTTTCTTAAGAAACTAAGAAAGAGTGCCCTTTAGTTATCGCTTGAGTTGGAATAAAGCCGGAGACCCCTTCCTCTCGAAATCTCAGTTATTGGTACAGAAAACGATAGAAGGAGATTCTTCTGAATCCTGGAAACCAAAACAAGATTTTTCCCTATCTTCCAATCCTTCCTTTCCTACTTGACGGCAATTTCATTCCTTTTTTTTTCTGTTCAGAAAGAGAGTGAGAATGCTTGGCTAAGTAGTGATGTTTTCTTACTGAAATGTCATGAATGCCACTAGTTCGACTATCAGCTTGCTTCTCCTAATGCCAACACCAATCTGAAGGTCATTTACGCGCTTCACTCCCAATAAAAATTTATCTTTGTTGTTCTTCAAGATTCCACCCATGTTATGGAGGTAGGAAACAGCCGCCAATGTGGTTTGGGGTTTCTCTGCCCTTACTGACCGGACATTCCCACCTCACCTTTTTAAGCGGGGTAATTGTTTCAAGCAAATGGATTACTTTTGCTGATCGACCATGTTCCTAACATCATTTCCTTAGATTCTTGCTTACCACTAATGGTCATTGCAGAAATGCAATGCTAGTCGTTTATGAATTCCGACAATATTGATGTAGATTAAAAGGCCAAAATAGTCCTCTGATTATCAATAAGTGACCAAAATTAATCTTGAAGTTTTAAAGTGATCCATTTTAGTCCCAGTTCATTAAAAATTGATCCAAATTAGTTCTTAGATTGACTTTCATGGTTCAATTTTAACACCAACCATTAATTTTGAGAGTATTTTAGGAATAAGAAATTTGAATGAAAATTTGTTTTTTTAATTGCTTTACTTTAATATGTAATAAAGGAATATTGATGTACCCGGTCTACAAGGAATCGCAAGTCTTGTTTTTGAAATGTGAACGTTTTAAAACCAATCTGATTGGTTTGGTTGGATGTATTTTCAAATTAAGTTTTCCGTTGTAAGTTGATTTCAAAATGTTTTGTTGAAGTTCTTATTATGTATTTTTAGTCATTCCTTTTGTGAAAAATAAAGTTCATATATTTGAGGAATCAGTGGAGTTTAAAAGCTATATTGATTTCCGCTGGCTTCCAACTAGACGACTGACTAAAAAATATGTTTATTAACATGTTCTTACAAGAAATGAACTAGAACCAAGTAGAATATATTATTCATGCAGATTGTTTTAATTTTTTATTATCATAAATTTTTTTGTCGTATCGAATACCAGGTCACAGTTAAAATAGATGGAATGCTGACCTAAGGAGAGTCCCAAGTTGCATAAAGAACATGCGATATGGGAGCTTTTCGAATGATGTTAGCATCTTTGTGGGGTATATCAAATCTTCAACATCTTGATTTTTCCAGCATTTTCCACCGGTTCATATGTACATTATTGTTGTATTATGTCAAATTTTTTCTTCTTTACCGGCTTGTTAATTTTGTTCAGTTTTCTGACCCATACTCTTAGTGAAAGAAACGAAAAAAAAAAAAAAAATCATAACGTGGCACCTGGCTGCTTATTATGCTGTTCAAAACAAGGAAAAAGCTTTATTTAGCTATGTGAAACCTGCATGGCTGCTGAAGCTTTATTTATTTGTCACCTTTTGTTTTTTTATTCTCGAAGTTTCTCGTATTTCTCCTAAACGATCTGTAGAATCTATCAGGTTCATGGAGGGAAAATATCTTTTTATTTTAAATACCAAACACTCCCCTGAATTGAATCCCCTTTTTTTATTTGATTAAAGTAATCTTGATGGTCTTGAGATCTATATCAAAATCTTCATATACTTGGAGTCATTTTAATGTAATCATTGATCAGAATGGATTTCATCCTATAATCAGACATGGAATAAAATTTAAAAATCTTAATTCTTGATTTTCAGGAAAAAAGAAATGAAAAGATGGTCAACCATTGGACACGTTAAACGCACGTGCCTTTAACTTGGGGACATTTTGTTTTAACTTTTTTTATTCATCACCTTACATAGATTTAACACAGGTAGTCTTCCCTTGGAGTAGGCTCTGAAATGTAATGGTCATGGGATGCTACAGACTACCGCTGTAAGTTGATGGAAGATTTACATACATATCACTCAATTCCTATATAATTACATATCCTACACTTACAATTTTTACATATATGCCACCTTATGCACAAGAAAGGTGTATTTAAGTTTTTATAGGTTAAAATAATGTTATTTTTTGTAATATGATAGATTTGGGTGGAGTTGTCGTAAAGATCAAAGTTCAGTTGTTAAAACATGTAAATGCATAGGAATTGGGTGGTATGTATGTAATTGCCCTTAAGTTGTTTGGTTAGTTTTTGGTATAGAGTGATTTCCGTATCATTTTTGGCTAGTCATCCAACCCACATTGTTTTGCACCTGAGAGTCATTCCTTTCTTCGTTAAATGGAGGTTATGGGCACGCTGTAAAGGTATTGAAATGCTATTCTCCTTAGTGGAGTTATTTGTCATAAATAGCTCGCAAAATGGAAGGCTGTATAAACCGTGAAAACAAAGCCATGATTTTATCAGAACAAATTAAGCATTGAGCCGAAATAGGATCCAAGGGCACATTTTGGATTCTTTGAAGGGAGGAGTTTTAGCCTCTTTGGTTTTTTTGGGGATATGACTTTGCTTAATATATTATACCGTCATCATATGCGAGTTCGAGACACCACAATTAAGGAAGTTATGTTATGTCGAGAGAGGCGATAGTTAGGTGGCCGTGGTTGTACCCACCGTGAGTGGATAAATTTAAATGATTTTGGTGTCATTTGAATGGTTACCATTAGATGATTTGTTATGAAAAAAGATTGCATTATTTAGTGTCATTTGGGCTTTTAAAATAATTGTTGAAGCTGTAGTTTGTAGTTGGTTTAGCTCCTTTCAAGTTCCTTTCTGATTTGCTTCAAAATTATGCTTGAGATCTCAACACTTTAGATGGAAATTATGCTAATAATAGACTAAATATGGTTATAAATTGGAATAATATATTTTATTTACTCATGAGAAGTGATTTTGAAGAGATCTGCAAGTGCTTCTAGATTTGAAAAGCCAAAACAGTAGATAACCATTTTTCTACTGGAATGGTATTACATTCACTATAAATGATTCTTATCCCATCATGTTCAAAGGGGAACTTCTTGGGGGGGGGGGGGGGGGGGGGGGGCGATGGTTGAGTTATAAATTTAGCATCATTTGGAATGTTTTTTTGGTCTCATATTTTTCGAAGCTGTGATTTTTAGTTGCTTTATAAATTTGCATTATTTGAAATATTTTTTTTGGTCTCATATTTTTTTAAAGATTAGATTTTTAGCTGTACTATTTCTTTTGAGTTGAGATTTATGATTTGCTTCAAATATTATGGTAGGAAATGATGTAAACAGGGAACTTTGATTTTTTTTTTTGGTATATCACGGTAACACACGCCTTATATTTTTACACATCTCACGCCTAAAATTTTATATTTACATGCACGTATAGATATATTTTACTTTTAAAAAGTGATAATAGTATCATTGTTGTAATATTTATGATTCGAGTGCTGTGTTTATAAATATGAATTTTAGAGGTGAGATGTAATACTCGAAAATTCTTATGTAAACGTCTTTTTTATGAAAAATTATTGCGTGCGTAGAACGCACACAGACAATGGGTCCCAGACTCGGGTTGATAACATTGTAACTCAGCATTTATTTATGGACCTATGCGTTTCTACATTTTATCCCACGATGGGAAACAGATGGAAAATTTGATTTAGTTGAATAAATTTGCATCAAATTTAATGAGCTAGATCTAACAGATCAGAATAAGATTGCGCCAATTTAAATTACTAGCCTCAAGACGGAGTTTGTGCTGGCGTTTTATTAGCTCAGAATTTAATCATTAAGTGAACAAATGAAATTGTTGTACAGAAGGGTCCTGAGTAGCTAGCCTACTACTGAAGCAGTGGTCTGCTAATCACCATTAAAACCCACAACAATAACTTAATCTTACCAATTTTTAGAATATAACATCGCTTAGCATATGAGTAATGCTATACAAATTATTTAAAATATATTTAAAAGAACGTTGACAACACATTTTCTTGAATCTTCATATATTTAAAAGGTAAACTTTTATTTTTATTATGATCACATATCATAAACTAAGCCATATCAGAACTATATATAAATATCAAAATATCAAAATTTAAGCATTTTGTAAGGGAGGAGTTGCACAAAACAATTTTTTAATTTTTATGAAGTAGACATGAGAATATTAATTTATTTTAAGATATGATATATTTAAACTTTCGGCAATTTACATATGCCTCCTAATTTTTGTTTTTAAATGCCTAAAAATATTATTTCACATTTGTACTATCTAAATTTTTCATGTCTCTTTAAAAAATTTACATATGCCACCTTATTTTGATCTTAATTTACTAGAACTAAATGAAAATATGACACTAAATAGGACGCAATGGAGAAAAATGATTCATGTAGCCAACCCCACGTAGTGGGATTAAGGGTTTGTTGTTGTTATTTGTTGTTGTCTTTAAAAAATTTATTAGCACTTCTAAAAAATAAAAAAAGAAAAACATTTTCATACATAAATAAGGCATAGTGCAAATTGAAGTATAAATTTTTTTATCTACATTCACAATTACCATGCTCGTCATAGCTGCATGAAGCAAATATATTACCATATGATTATTTCATAACCTAAAAAATTACGTTAACTCCATAGACATTAAACATTCAAAGAGACCAAAAAGAATTGAAATTAAAACACAAGAAAAGTATCTCCTTTTTCTCAAGAAAGAGACTCGGAAGAATCTCTCAAAAATGGAGCGAGGCGAGGATCTGTGCGCCATGGCAGACCACTTCTGGCACCCAAAGCCCTGCATCCAGCAGCAGCCTGAAAAAGACAGCAGCAGAACGATGAAGACTTCGTTCGTAATCTATACGTTGGAAATTAGGGAGAACTGATAAAATATGTAAAGAAAAAAAGCTCAGTTGATGCATTTCAAATACATGTAACAGTTGAACAAACAGAAAGGGACATTTACACACGTAACATGATGTATTTACATATCTAACACCTAAACTTTCACACTCAACAGGCATCACACCGATTATTTATATTATATCAAAAAATCACTATTATTAAATTTTTAAAAGTGAAATACACTTTTTTTTCATGCATAGGTTTATAATATAATACCGAAGTATTGTAAATATAAGGGAGATTTACATGCATACCTTTTCTATTTACTTATCCAACACTTGGAATTTTCATATTTATAGCAATTTGGTATGATAAATCTATAAATGAAAATGTGCATTTAATTTTTAAATTAGGTGATAGTTGTATTTTTGATATGGCATTAAAAAGTTTGAGTGTTATGCATGTAAATAGATAAAAATTGTGTGGTACAAATGTAAATAACCCTAGATGTAAATAACAAACTTGGGCGTTAAATATGTAAATCTATACGAATTGTGTGGTGTGTATGTAAATTTCTAAAGAAAAAAAATAGAGTTTAGATATACAAGATTGATAGAGGGAAATAATTAAGATGCATACCACAAGAGAGGCGAAAGGAAGCATTTTCTCTGCCATTCCTACGCATAAAGCTGAAAAATACAGAAGAATTAATCTCTGTAGCTTTGCAAATATAGAACAGGCTACTAAAATAAAAGCTTACGCAGCATTTTGAATCTGGACTTGCCTGTTGAAACAAGCATTCAATACATCGTAAACAATCGGATAGGAAAATCAATTTTTCCTTTTTTTAAAAATCTATTTTTTAGTGTATGGTGCGGGATTAATTAACCTTGGGACATCAAGGGTCGTTTGAGAATTGAGGCTTAGTATGTAATGAAGTTTTCTTTTATAGAAAGACTGAACATGGTTTGACCACTCTATCCAAAAGTAAACCAATTGGAGTTGCTTTTTAATTTCTTTACAAATCTCATTATCAACGCTAAATATACTATCATGTACTATCATATTTATCATAGGTAGGCTTAGACCAACAAATAGAGACTATGAAACCCCTCAAGTAAAATGAACTAAACTCTTAAATATCAATACACCTTTTGATAGAAAGGTTAAAATTTCATCAAAAAATCCAAAAACATGCTCGTATGGGAGCACTCTTGGGATGAGTGACCTCCTAGGAAGTTACACCAATAAGACAAAACTATGAGTACATTAGGCAAAAGCAAACTCGATGAATGAGAGTTTCGGCTGTAAAAATGGTATCAGAACATTACATCAAATTGCCGATGAGAACTAAGTCTCATTCAAAATAAAGTGTTATGCTATGGAAGCTACCTCTTGTAGCCTAGATGGTGCAAAGTGTATACGATGGGAGACCACCACTTGAATATGTAGGGACCACCTTTGTAATTCTATCAGCTTGGCGAATAATTCAGGATGGAAAAAAAGACGAGAGCATCAATTACTTAAGTGGGGGAGGTTATGAAACTCCTTAAGTAGAATGAACCTTAATTCACAAACATCGAGGTGCCTTTTGGTATAACAATTAAAATTTCATCAGAAACTCCAAATCTAAGCGTGTTAATGCGGGAGCGCTCCTAGTATGGGTGATCTCCTTAAAAGTTACACAAATAGGACAAAACTGTGAGTCCATTAGACCAAAACAGACTATATCTCGATAGATGAGAGTTCGGGCTATTATAGAGATTTCCAAACTCGCACCTCATCATTCATAAAGCCAAATATGGAACAATTTTTCATGTATGCAAGAGCTTTGACACATATTTATAAGAGACAAATGACTTTAAAATAGCACATATGACCTTGCTACAAATTAAAAAAGCAAGCATAAACAAAATACATTTTGCATCTTAACAATGAATAAATACATTTTGCATCTTAACAATGAATATTTAAGGACTCTACATAAATTTGACATATAACTATAACAAAATAGCATATAAATTACACTAAACTTCTAAAAATATAAGATAATGTTTTTTAAACACTTTAGTGCTCTTGAAGAGTGGTGGAGGGTTTGGAGGTAATGTAGGGGATGTTAGATAATTGGAGTTGAAACCGTACAGAAGATCTCCTAAATCGGTTCTATAATAATTAACAGGTGTGAAGTTCAGCCAATAAGATGGAAGATGGATCAAAATCTTTATGAAGTCGGAAGAAACTATGCAATTTTATCTTTAACAAAGACCAAACTATAAATGATCTTTAGAGGAAACAAGCTTTAATCGAGATGTTCGAAAGAAAAAAAACTATTTAACTTGAGCTTATACATCATCAACTTTGTCTTCAACTTAGCAAAATTATAATATAACTTTTAAAATTGCTTCTGCAATGTATTTATTTTGTGTTTCAACTATTTGGTGGGTCAATGCACGTGACAGATGCATGTGCTTAAGCTTTCATATGTTCTTAATTAATCTTAAGATATGAAAGGTGTTTTATTTTAGGCGGTGCTTGGCGTTTAATGAAATGTTATCTCTACACACGAGGTGATCACATTTTGATCAACTATAAAAAGCAGACACAAACACAACACGATACAATACAACAATACAATATAATTGCAAAATGTAGGACATGATACGACATGGCATTTTTTTAATATTTAATAAATTATTAATATAAATAAATATTTTTAATATTTTCTATCAAAGAAATCACAAAACAAAATATGTAATCATTAAGTAAACTTTATAATCATAGAAGTTATTTTTAGCAATATCAAAATTACATTCAAAATATTAAAAAATTACCAAAACACAATACCATGGTCAACATAATTTATATCAACATGTTAATGGGGTATCCTACCTCCACTTGACAACTTATTTGTGCTCTAACAACAATTTTTCTCAATTTGTTAAAGCCATCATTATATGTAAATAAAAATCAATTATATAGAAGCCACCCAGATAAACAGGTAAAAAAAATTTGCAGAAAATCTTATCAGATAAAAAAAAAATCTTAAAAGTGAAAACATATTATATATAAATAAATAAGTGATGAGGAATCCTTCTAACTTTAGAAAAAAAATAAAATAAAAAAAAATAAATAAAACAAACCTCACCTCGTGGAGTATTTTGACGAAGGGTGCCTTTAGCTTATTAGTTCAACAACCAGAGAACTGGCAGCACTAAAAAAGTCAAGAACGAAGCTCTAGATTGCATCAACAATGGGTTCGCTATGCCTAGAAACTTCCTTCTTCAACGTAGGGCTTCTATAGTGACTAAGTGCTCGATTGTGGCTTAGATTTTGAGTTGCTGCTTGATCAGCATCGACCTAGGGCTAAGACAAACACACATTTTAGTTCTTGTGTCCAGCTCCCACTTGATGTCGTGTCGAGCGATATCAAGTCGTGTCCCCGCCAGTGTAGAACTCAAGGCACTGATACATTTTTAGTTGTTATATACGTATCGACCCGTGTTGGAGTTGTGTCCTTTTCTGTCATGGGTACAACTATTTTGATATGTCAGTGCTTCACGGTTGATCAATACTCAATAAGAAAGTGGGTGGTCTAATTTAGTGACTAATTTGAGTAGGATTAGCCGCTTTGGTAGAACATGGGTTAATTTTGGTTAGGTTTGATTTTGGAAGCAATACTAACTATATGGGAATTCAACTACGAAATATGAGGTTCGGAAGAAACACTAAACAAGAAAATTGTGGGAGACTTCTGACACATGAAAAGTGTGAGAAATAAAAGAAAGGTTCTCAAAGTATGGAGAGCAAAAAATTGCAGAAAAAAATTAATTAAAATATTAGCTTCAACAAATTAATGACCGTACCAAATGACCTCAAAAATGTTGAAATTCAAGGGAAAGACTTACACAATAACAAGGAGATATAATAAAAATTTCATAAGACATTGAAAATCTTCAATGTTGAAATCAGTCCACTCATCAAAAAAATTTTAGGAAGATTGATAAAATAATGAAAGGGAAGGCATTTCCACGAAAAAGATGATTTTATTTTCCTAAAGAATCTACTAACTATGATACTAATTGATGGAGATTAGAAAAGGTAATGAAGATGTAGAAGAAGTAACAATAAAAGCATAACTTAAAAGAAAATTGGAAGTCGAAGATCTAAGTACATAATAACAGACCATCCTAGCCACCAATCCACATCACTAATCACATAGAAGGAATGAGGGAGAGATCTAAAGGAGGCAGGCATGGAGGCTCAAAAGTCCACATTTTTTTCATCCTCCATTATCCAAAAAAAAAAAAAAAAAGAAATTGCTCCTTATATATTAGAAATTCAAGGATAATTGCATAAAAGATCCAAAATATTTAAAACAACATAAATAATCTTAATACAAATTAAAATGCAAATATAAACTAAAGTCCTTTTACATTTTAACAACGACAATTAAAAAGTATTCCCATAAATGCTAAACATAAAATAAGAAAAACAAAAATAGAATGCATATTATGCCAAAGTTAAAAAACAACCTCATATAATGTTATTAGACATTAGTGCAACATCACAAAATAAGCATACCTTAAAGAAAGAGCACATTAGAGTAGTGGTTGGAATGACAAATCTTGAAGATAATATAATTAAAATAGATAAGTCATTTAGACACGTAAAATGAATCATAGAAATGAGCAAATAAGACTAATAGATAAAATTAAGTGAGTATACAACAGAAAGAATGGGTGGACTTAAAATGACATGGATATAAGTTGCTGAAAATGATTTGGGAGGAATAAGTTTGATGCTTAAGACTGTTTTCAACAGCGGAAAAAAAAAGGAAAATAAGGATTCATAAACTAAAACCAAATGATTGGGATAAGTCAATTGATGATGATGATGGAGCAGATCAAAGCAAATTTCATGTTTAGTGAAAAAAAGATCCCTACTGACTATTATAATATAGTAACCAACATAAAATTCTCTCCATATTCTTTTTCCTTTCAATCCTTACCAAGCTATGATTATAAGAATCAAGCCTTTGTTTAATAATTTAACAAAATGAAAGCAAACACCGCAAAAACCACAAAATGATTTGACCTACTTCTTAGTTAAAAAAATAAATATCAGCTTTTATATGTGATGCCGGAAGCCATTGTATAACTGATAATTGATGAAATATTCAAAGAAAAACAAAGTGCGCAAAAACTTCAAGTTCTTTTAAATTTAGTAAAGAAAAAATTAAAACTGCAAACCATATAGAATTGCTCCTATGAAAGCATCCCCAGCACCAGTGGTGTCAATTAGCTCTGACGGAGGTATCACCTCTGCTGTTCCCACTAATAGCCTTCCGCTGAATGAACCAATTTCATCAGCTCTAATCCTTATATTCATCTGAAATTGGAAAAAATTGTAAAGACCTTGAATTATGAAAAAATAAAGAAAAAAAGAAAAGAGGGATGTCATGTTACAAAAAAAGTAGAATAATGGTCGAAGTTTTATAGAGCCTCAGAAGTTCAAGTTAAACTGGCTTAGAAGGAAGAAGTAGCTTAAAGAAAATTAAATTAAAGGTCCATTTATGGCAATTGCAGCTATATATAAAAATTTTAGGCAGGAAAGAGTAAATGTTGGTATTACTATTTGTTTCCCTTTTGAAAAATTCTGAAAATAATATTCTCAAATACCACAAAAATTTCTAAAAGAGCAGTAAGAAAAATAAAGCCAAATAGGACCGTGGTTCCGATATTGAAAAGTAAAATTATAAGAAAGATGCCCTAATCACTTAGGGATGAAGTAAAACAAAAAACTCAATAAATAACTCGAACTCTACTCCAAGTTTGATCAAGTTAATAATCTAGTAAATTTGAATAATTTTTAAAAGCTCGGAGGTTAAATAAATCAAGCATGGACACAATTCAACTCGGTTATTTATGTTCATGAATTAATTATTTGTTGTTCAACAACATATTGAAGGCTTAATATTAAGCTCAATGATTAATATATAATTAATTTTTTTAAATAGCTTCTTTAATTACTAAGTCAATATCAAAATATTATATATTTATTTGCTAGGTTAGGTTATATTCTGCCTCTCATATTTTCATTTTTCAGGTATCATTCCAAACTTACATCTCTTACAATCTGCACACTCAAATCACTCAAGGTTCTGAGAATTATCTCTAGTGGGAGCAATGGTAGGATTACTCTAAAAACCCGAGCCTTTGAAGGTGAGTGCATCTTCTTCGTCAGGTAACCTATAGTCAATGAACCCATGAACATGGTTTATAAGTGCTCTATGTTGGACCTCGATACAACATCTCTAATATGCTTATGTAAGTATCGGAGTGCGCCTGCATGAGAATTGAAGATGAGTGCATTTTCTCCATTTCAGCCTCCCTATAGTTGATCTACTGTCATAGTCCACGAAGCATCTTCAACATGCCATTAACACATTGCAGTTTGCAGCCCTCTTGTATCCTTTTCAGTTTTTATTTAGACATCTCTCTTCCCCTAGAATTTAATAATTCTTTTAAATTCTCAGTTCTTTTCAATCCTATTATTTTCTTGTTTAATTGGTGCCAAATACTTAGATACTAATTTCAAATTTATTGAATCATTTGTTAATGTAGTACTATAAAATTAATTGATAATATGATAACCATATGAGAATTAATTTAATAACTAATTTAATTAATTTAGACAAGCTATTACAATCCAAGATATGTCAAAGAAAATTCTAAGCAAACCAATAATGAATATACATACATACATATATAATATATAAATAAATAAATATATATAGCAAAGTCTTGAAAGACTTGTCGAATTTGATAAAGCAAAGTCTTATTGATGATATGAAAGCTCATGTCGAATTTGAAAGACTTGTAGTATGATAAAGCAAAGTCTTATTGATGATATGCGTGGCTTGGCTCCAGTTCAATTACATCCCGAAGTAAAGAATTGATTTTGGAAGCTCCTTCAAATTTAATTGAGTTGAAATCAAGGTCCAACATTTTAGGGAATTTAAACATTGGTCCCTCCCTCCATTCTAGTAATCTAAGTTCCTCTTTGATCAACTGATGCAATCATATGGCTTGAATTATGATGCTCTATTGCATGAAAGGAGATATTCAAACCCATTTTGTCAAGCTGAGTTTTGTCTTCTTAATTTGGGCTTTTACCTTCTTTTCTGGAAAGAATAGGCCATTTATCCCATAATTTTGCTTTAAGAGCAATGAAATATGCTAGCAAACAAAGGTTCCGATTGCTGGTTTTTTATGTTAGGGCATGGGAGGCTATGAGCTCAATGCCACATCAAATTTTTTAAAAAATATATTGATGTAGACAGATGAAATAGTTGGCCCACACTTATAGGCATAAGGCCTTGGGTTAAAAACGGGTTTGACAAACAGTGTATGTTACCCATCTTTGGCACCTTTAGCTTGCATTCTTTCTAACAAACATTTGAACTAATAGTTTGACTGAGATCAAGTGATTCATGTAGTTTGAACGTTCCATTGATTTTGGGGAAACTTGAGATGAGAATTCAAGAGTGGTCGAATCTCATAAAGCCTACACATGGTGAAAATGCTTTAAGTGCATGATACTCAATGATTTAATGGGGGTGATAATCAATGTGAAGAGCTCATATTTGAGGAGATTAAGTAGTTGGTTTTGACTCATAAAATTAAGCTTTTAGGATGAAAACATCGTTACTTAACGGTGAATATGACTTAATTGAGGACATAACATGACTCTACATTAGGCTTTTAGGTGCACACTCATAAAGTTAAGCTTTTGGGTGAATCCGCTTTGATAGAAATTTCAACAATAAACTGTTGGAAAAATAGCTACTTGATTGATCAAATTCTCATAAACATCTATTTTCTATAAGAAAGAACATTACTTTACATATGCTAATTATGAATTATAGATTTTAAACAAAGATTGTACACAATTAGACTATTTATAGATTAATAGAATCTAATTAGGATAAAAATAGATTAATAATTTAAATTATAAACTAATCTGCGTACTTGATAACAGTCAATTATGAAAAACTTAACCAAAGGGTTAAGTTACACCAATTAGTGCTTATGAACAAAAAAGGGAATAATAAAAAATAAATAGGCTGATAAAAATTCATAAATTAATTAAACTATTAACTGAACCATGCAGCTAGTTTAATTCATGATTAGGATACAAACTTAGAAAATCATTAAGGCTTAATAGGATATTGATTAGGTGGGTCCAATTAAGAATTAGCTATGATTTAAATAGGCTTGTGTTTACTAATTAACTGATGATTAGTGTATTAACTTATGAATTACTTACTAAACTAAGGTTTGAAAAAGCTACTCCAAGTTTAAATGGAACCAATTAGAAAACAAATAGACATTAATAAGGCTAATAATAAGAGCATTAATTAACCCAATAATAAGTAACAATTATGATCGTATATAAATCATGGCTTAATTAAACTTTAGGCTTTAAACAAACTAAAGTTGATCTTTGATCAATTATTTGACAATTGAAAGACTTCAACCCATCCTTGCTCCTATGGGAATGAATAAAATGAGAGTAAAACTAGCTGCGCATTTCTTTCTAGGTTCGAGACTTCGAGTAAGAAGTGATATGGAATTGAAACAGCCAATGATAAGCAAGAGCAATAGAGATTAAGATTAATCCATCATACCCCTTGTCACATCCGAGCTGACCCCCCATTTTAGAGTTACCAGCAATGCAACAAAGGCAGACCATTTGGTCAGATTAAATTCTCACGAACACTCATCCTGACTTACATATTATGACCAAACAGGTGACCGATTAGTCTAACTAAAACACTGCAAGCGTGCATAAAAAATTTCAATTAATAATTCATTCACATTCACATACACTTGGAAGCGTGGAAAATCATATCACTAAAGAGCAACTATAAATTTAAATTAGTCAAAGTACTTACCTAAAAATCTATACAACCTCCAAAACTATAATGCAAAAGCTGTATGAGTCACATCTGGCCACTCAATTTGGTATTCGTTACCCCTTGTTGAAAGTCAATATAGAGTGAGCTATAATAGCTCAACGAAATAATCAAGGCTAAATAAAAATTTTATAGACGCAAAAAGAGCAAAGTGCATGAAAATCACAACTCACATGCATAAGATGAAAACATATTACACTTTTTGATCGTGTAAAATACTTAAAGAAAAAGACATGTATTTCATCCATCCAAGACAAATATATAAAACATGCATTTCAACTATCCATGTGTAATCATAGGCATATCCAGAAGGATTTCATAATCAACAATCACAATAATAAGAACATCACTTGTAATTATATAGGCTTTAACTATGTTCATATCGCTTCATGTCATTGGGTCTTCTTGCCAGAACTATTGATACATGTTAGACCCCTCAAAACAACAATTATCAATAAACTCAAAATACTTTCTGCCCATCTGATACAAACGATTCCCAAATTTCGTCTCCTTCTGAATGAAAAAAGATGAGAATCCTATCGCTCCCTATTATCTGTACTTACAAACATTTATGTAACAGTTCACTAACACAACACTTGCAAAATTCTTATATTCATAATTCAGGTAACAAGCAATCATGAGCACATTATAATCATATGCATAATTAACATGATATAAGTATCTGCAAGTGAAGATTTCATAAACAACCTCATTACATCAGTGAATAGAAAAATCTAAATTATCGCTAGTGTCAATTCAAACTGGCATTCACATACATTTGCCGGTATTCAACAATATGAGGAAATTCTAAATGCATTTATATGTCAAAAGAAATTATAAACATATCTTAGAGAAATATACTATTCTTAATTTAACATAGGATTATTTCATATGTAACGATAGAGCAGCCCTATGACAAATTTCCTTAAGCTCTCTGCCTCGTATAAACCATCTTAAATTCAAAATCCCTTAAAAATTCATGAAACTCATAACTGAAATCTTAATTTAACTCCAAAAAATGATATTCTTGCTCTAACTTACACTAAAAGATCCACTCGACACAAATATGCCTATGTGATGCCTTTCTACTTCGTTCCTCCTTCCTTCCCCTTCCTACTTTCCCTTTTTAACCCTCAAATTCCTGCTAACAACCCTACTGAGATGTCGTTCTTGATACTCGCCTAGCTACAGTAATAGGAAATCACGAAAAAGGTTGCAATTCATGACAAATGTCAAAAAGGAATCGTGCGAAGAAAATAAATGTCTCAAATATCCTAAAAGAGGGTTTCCTACTCACGGTTTTCTCTCTAGAGCTTACAGTCGTGACCTGTGGCTCTCTGTGGTCATCGATTCCGCGTTAGCTACAGTGGCCAAGTCGCAGAGCCCAACAGGCCCACGAAATGAAATGAGGGAGAGGGGTGTGAGGAATGAGGGAAAAGCAGCATTTAATCTCAGTCCTTCTATCCATCCCACGGTCAAATATCGTGAATAAGAGCCGGTAGCTATAGTAATCCAGGATTAGGGAGAATAATTATAATTAACTAAGGATTAATTAAGTTGATATTTAAAAATTTTCATCCACCAATACATTTGTAGTTCATGTATAGTGTTATATGTCAAATTGATTGATCTAACATGTAGAATATTATAAGTTGACTAGATCAAATTTTGATGGATGCGAAAATTGGGTATATTTTTAATATCACCAAACTTTTTCCCAATTTTCTCAAAATTGGGCGTTACGCCCTTTACTTCCTGGGTAACATGCCCTATAATAGCTGAGATAAGGGCCACAGTACTGTGGAGGCGAGCTAGAATAGTGCTGTTGGAGCAAGACAGAAAGTTTCTGCCAGGATTTCTAATGTCACTAAATCCAAAGTCATGGGAAACCTTGCAAGCGAGAAGTAGATCATGTTTAATAAGAATAGCTTTTTGATGAAATTAAAAAGTCATGTATTCTTAGATGATCACATATAAAGTAGGGCGTTTGTGTTCATTTTTATTGCAAAATATAAACAGTATTTTTTTAAACAACCACTTGGAACTTAATTTGATTTGCAAACAGCATCTGCACGATATTTTTATAAAATAAAAAATATTACTTGATCGATAACAACTTCCTAAAACAGCTTTCTCCATATTGGCTCAATGGCTGATTTATAACTTCCAGATATACTTAAATTGCTCTGTGATCTTAAGCAAAGTTAAACCGGAAATTACAAAAAACTATGGTAGTAGAGATCAAAATCAGCTTTAGGATAAAAATTAGAGGAGAATTGCATAGGGAAATTATATTGTCCAGAGACATACTTTGGAAGAGATGCATGTCGGAATGATACTACCCCAATCGGCCTTCTGCATCAGTGATTCTAGAAGGCTTCCTATTTCCATTTCTTCTGCTTCACAGGTATCTACAACAGAAATTTATGATAGTAATGATCATTGAAAATAACTTTAATACATTGAATAGGAGCTTTAGCCCACCATTAACTTTCAAATTTGCAGATCTCGATAAGCAACATAATTTTATATTGCTCTTACCATCAATGCTTCTTTCAAGCATTATGCAACCTTTATAGCCACGGGTTACAATAACAAATTTGATGTTAGGCAAACTCAGAAGCATAGCTGCCAATGCATTTGGAATAGAAGGCCCACTCGTCCATGCCTGCAGTTTGATAAAGATGAAAGCACTATAAAATCAATAAATAACCTTGTCAACAAGGGAAATTTACATAAATAGCACACAATTCTTATAAAAACTGCAGGCAATGCCTGTGAATAAAAACTAAATGCTTGTGTATCAATTAGGCCGTGACAATAAAATTGCATAAATTAAAAAATAAAGTGATAGATAAAGAAGTTGCAACATGGCATTTCTCAAAACAAGAAATTGAAACTCATTAATTATACAGAACAGCAAACCAAACCTTTGCATTGTCGGTCAACTTTTTCTTTTCGATTAGATTGATTTAGATTTATTTGAAAAATATGATATATGAAAATAATTTTTGAGATTTAATTTAAATATAAAAGATATATAGTTTGGGTTTTGAAAGTAGTATGTTTTAATTTTTGAAAAAATGAGACCAAATGGATCTCATTAGTCTGATAGTTTGCAAAATCGTGCCTGATACCGCAAATACTACACCTTCCCGAGAGATAAGTGTAGACCTCAGCGATAGACCCAATCCTGCAAACTAAGAGATTTGTGACATCCGTTTGGTCTGCGAACCTTTTATATATGACCGACAAATTCCCCTATTTAATACAAAGATTAAATAGGGTTTATTTTACCTGGGTTCCAAGTTCCCTATAGAGGCAAGCCCCTATAGTTAATTACATCCCAAATGACGGGAGTCATTTGAGAAAACTCTCGATAATGATCAATGGTTCTAGTCTTCAAGAATTCAAGGTT